CTCAAATGAACCAATCATTGCTCTATCAAGCTAATTTGATTTCAATTGATCAAGTTGAAGACAATGAAGCTAATTTTGATGGTATATTGGAGCATTTATATGATACACCTCAAATCTGTTTACAAGACCTCCTTAATGGTATATCCTATAGTGATATTACTGAGCTTTGGAAAGTATCGTATATTTCATCGAAAACTGCTAAATCACATTATGTTGCTATACTTGAAGATTCAACGATACTTTACACCTGTATGTTTATTGTTAATCAAGGAATGATATATCGTCATCAGTTCAGGGTCCTTATTCAGTCAGATAATGCAATATTTCATATTTCGCATATTCATACGCGTTAGGTTAATTCAAATTCGGATCTACCTGCTAATTCAACAGGTTCTATTACGATTGTGAATGGCGAAAGAAATCATACAGTAGTACCATTGAGTTACATGAATCAATTTAGAACAGACAATGTATATATACTAATTATTAGAGAAAAAGTTAACAAAAATGTTCAGTTTGGTACTGCAATATCTATAGCTAAAACAAGTATTCAAATTGCTGTTACAGAAAATGTTACAGCTGAATTAATTGGAATTTTGACCCAGTTTATCATGAAATATCGTAGAAGCACTGGTTTAAGCTTTGAAAATACTGAGAGTGCTATTTCTTTTTCAGGTACCAAATATCATATAAGCATAGTTTAAGCATCAGAAATACTAAGAATTTTATTTCTTTTTCAGGTACTGAACCATTACAGGAGTCACAAGGGTCTTCTATTCAAGATAATCATCAACCTTTATCTATTCTTCCTGAAGTATCAAACCCTGAGTATCATAGACCGAAAGAACGACCTCAAAAAAGGTATAAATCAGCAGTAGAAAACGATCGTGTTATATTAGGCAAATCTAATGAAACAACAGCACAGAAAACGTGTAGCTATTGCTCTGAAAAAGGTCATAATATCCGAGGATGTCCAAGATACAAGGCTGAATCGTCTGCTAACAAAGAAAATGAATACTTGGAATAATTACATAGATTACATAGATTATATAGTTGGGCGAATAATTACATAGTTGGACAATGTGATTAAATAGTAGTTGCACTCAAAATAAATAAAGTATCAATTTCTTTTATTAAATGTGTCAATTTTATTACATTTTACATACACTTTATAAGAACAAATAAAAGTAAAAAATTGAAGAGAAGTCACATGATATATATAATCACATAATACTGGTGTTGACCACCAGTGATGGTAAATAACAAACTTCAAAAAAATTTATAAAAATTTATATAATAGTTTATAAGTTACTTCAATTTAAAAATTCAATATAATTTAAAAAAAATGATTATGCTTAGTAATTTCTAATATTCCATTATACATCAATTTGATAATTCAGGCTAACATAATATTAGCCTAAATTATCAATAATATTATGTACATATGATACAATTTGTTTTAAAATTTAGACTGATCAGATAAAAATTACCCATTTAAACATTTATAACTTTTATGTAGATAGTCTTTTGAAAATATAATTAGCAGTTTAATAGAACTCTTAAAGAGTAAAATTATCAGTTTACTTATTCTAAATCTTATTTTAAAGTATTCAAAAATTTTTGAATATTATATTTTTATTGTTAAGTATAAATTTTTTAAATTTATTAAATATTTATTTAAATTATTTTATAACTTCATAACTCAAATTATTTGTTTATTCAATAATTTATTTATTGAATTCAATATTTTGATCAGGATAAGATCGACATTAATTAGCGTGATTATAAGGAGAATTTATAATTATAAATTAAAAAAGCAAAGCCGCAGTATCTTTTAAAAAAAAGAACTTTAAATAATATAAATATTTTAAAAAACGAGAAATCGCTGCCTTTGTTGCATCTCATAAATAAAAAATTAAAATGAACAGCCTCTATCCCTTCGTCTGTAACACAGGCAAATTTGTCTGCATAAACATAGTAGCATGTGAAAGTCTACAGACGAAAGGATAGTCTCTTTCATTAGATAAAGCGTCCGAAGCGTTAGCAATGATCGGCTATGACACAGAAGAGATTACATGCATAATATGGACTCAAACAGAAGTGTCCACCTCCTTTAAAAAAAATGTTTTTCTTAAAAAAAAACCTATCCTGTAAAAAAAAAATTAATCGTTGCGAACGATATGATCGAACCCAGAGGTAAAGAAACTAAAAATACGTTTCTGTTACTTCCAAACAAAAATTAGCAAAAAAAAAAAAAAAAAAGGAAATCTGATAAAAACAAATAAGTTTTTGATAAAAAAAAAAAAAATGTCAAAATTTATTAGATTTTCGTGTTCTTGAAGAATCTAATATATCATATGATAAGAATGTATTGATTAGTATAAAATACCAAATTATGTATGTGTAATAAAATAAATTATAGTATATGTAAAAACGCCACGCAAAGTCACGTGCTTTTTATTTACAAAATGGCCAATTAAAGTTAAGAAATTTACTGCGGATTATGCAATTATGTGTTTTATGAAATGATGCGCAAGCATAATGCTAATGCGCAAAATTCAATATTATGCGCATATTATGCCGCTGGACACTCTAGTATTGATCGTCAATAATTATTTACGTGATTTATAACAAGACTTTCAAACAGGAATTTTAATCAGTAAACTATCTGAAAAAGTTTTTTTTTTCCCTCAGAAAATTAGTCATACATCTGCTAATGATACGTTTAAAGAAGGGCTTTTCTTTTTTTAGATGTCGCCCTATCAGGAGGTTCATCAAACAGGCGTATTCTGTAATCTTAAACCATTAAAAATTTCATGATACCTAAAATTTTAATATTAATAACCATCAAAATGGAAAGGAATGCAATAAAGCAGAGTTTTTTTTTATACAAGTCATAAGATGAGATCATACCAAAAGAGAACGGAATGTTGTACTTCAACAATCGATTTTTTTTTTTTTTAAAAAATAAATGTAAGCTTATAAAGAAAATATGTAAGTTAAAAAGTTTACACCTCCTTGAATTATAATAAATATGTTGTAACTTCTATCCGGTTTGAACTTGATTTGTGTGAGTAAATAATAAGTCATTGAAGGTTAGAAACAAATTTTATGATATGATAACAATAAAACTAAAAAAGGAAGTCTCACAAAGTTATCGCATTTTACCTAACTGTAATAAGAAAGGCTGACCGACTTGATATATAAAAGAAAATCAGACGCGTTCTTTGATTTCTTTTTAAAAAATAATATATATTAAAAGAGAGGTCCGAAGTAAGCTGTGTTGTATTGGCATTACATCATCTATAAAAATCAAAATGCGAGACAATTTTACTAAAATCGGCAAAACAAAACAGAGATCCTTGGCTTACAAAGTTGTGGAACATTGTTTATTAGTTCGAATTTCCGTAATAATGAAATGGTACAAGATAACTGTAACTATTCATAAATATCAAAAAGGGAAGGAAACGGGCGCTTCAGCCTAGATTCCTCGTTTTAAATGAACTGCCAAATATATCATCTTTTAGTAAATGATAAGACCAAAAAAAGAGGGCTTTTAGGTTTTTATTTGTTTTGGTAAAATGTGACCCGAGCTTTGAAAGCTTCTTTTTTAAGAAATGATTGAATGAACTAATTAATAATGTATCACAAAAAAAAAAAAATAATAATAAATCTTAACGCGAACGAGAATACAGTTGAATTGAATTCGGTTAATTGACTAATTTAAAAGACATCATAATCAAATCGTTTGACCTTCCATTTTCTCATATAAATGGTCAAGCTGAAATAAAAAAAAGTATATATACAATTATTAATCAATCATATAAAAAATAAGCAATGTAATTTTCTTTTGCACACCTTCAAGTCAATATTTTTTAAATTCATCGATTCTCACTTAATTTGTGGATTATGCAATAAAGGATGGTCGCAAGATTAATCTATCGAAAGACACTCTTACTTTCATGGCATAAGATTGTGACCCACATTCATCAATTAAGAAGCAAAAATGTTAATTTTTCAAGATATATATGACCCCAATTTAATTGAATTAAAACTCCTTCACAACATTACCGAAATTAATAGAGTTCGTTTGATTCAACATAACCATGGGCAAGTTATATTTTATTAAATGAAGAATTGGAATGTTAGGGGGAACGACATGGAATTATTACGTCAAAAACTCAAGATGTATCTTTATATAACAAAATTTTACAAAGTGATTCTGAACACATCAAAGAATTGATAAAAACGTTCGTCCCATTCACACCCAGGCCAGCCTCATTACGATTAACTTACAGAAAAAAGCTCACAATCAACGAATTGTTCCCGATGAATACGCACCCAAGGATGGGTATGAAAACGACGAAAGCTCAGAGCAATTGGAATTGAACCAAATTTGGTGAAAATATGGGAGGAAACGAGATTCGTGAATTTGACGTCTATGCAGAAAATTTTTAAATCATAATGAAATTTTATAATCGTTATAAATATTCAATATATTTATTATTTAATTATTTTTTTTTATTCGAAAATGTATACCATAAAAAAAATTTTGTTAAAATTACAAGATCAATATGTTTTGAAAATACCTTAGTGTGTCTATTTTTAGAAACAGAGTTTTTTATTAAATAAAAAAATTTTATTCGGACCCATTTCAACCGAGACGACCCTAAAGAGTTAATTGTTTTTAAATTATATTGTATTTATTTATTTTTGTCATTTTCTAATAGACAAATAGGAAGGGGGAAATCTAACCTTAAACAGTAAGACAATCATCTTAAAATCATCAATAATTTCTATGAAATTTCCAAATTAATGGTTGGTCATCAATCAATAAAAATATTTTGATTATCAAACGCCCATATGCATATATGTATGTATCATGCCAATGCCATTGAAATTATTAAACGAATCAGCTGATAGCAAGGCAAAATTTTCCCATCAGTTCTCATATTCTTTTCGAAGATCTTGCTTCGAATTTTTTTTAGATCTTTCTTCTAAAGAGAATGATGCTCTTGATGTAATCCACTCATGATCATACATGAGTTTATAAGTTACCATGAATCTAAATCAGAACAAAACATAAAAAATTATATACGTTAAATTAAGGTTGTAAAAATTCCGATTGGATAAAACAATATTCATGACGAGAATAAAATTGAAGGGATCCTTTGTGCCACTCACTTCTGGTTAATATTGTTTTCATTGCATGACTAAACTTTCCTGGATTATAAAAGCAGTCAGGAATCTTTCTAGGAGCCATCAATAAACTTATATTCCTTTTAAAAAAAAAAGGTCAAAAAGGTACAAATTGACGTTTATTTAAATTTACGAAAGTTTTCTTTATACTTTTTTTTTTTTTTTTAAAAAAAAACTTGTATATTAATTATATTACTTTTATTTTTTACCAGT